ACAAGTAAGAAGCACCCCCCCCAAACAAAAACAAACCCTGACTGAGAAGGAAAGAGACTCCCCACATTTCCCTCACATACCAGAGCCTACGAGGACCCAGGCTAGTAGATTTCGTGTGCTATAGGATAGCAAGAGGGCTGGAGCATCAGCGCAGGCTCCCGAATGCTGGGGAGTCCTGAGCCTTGGGGGCTGGATCCAGGCAAGCCGGAGGCCGGCCTGAGGTTCTCCACCCCGGCAGCATTAAACCCTGGAGATGGCTCAACTCCACCGAAGAGCAGAGAGATTCCTATGTACAGCTTGAAATATTATTTCCAGATGCCAAGTTCTATATAATCACAAGATATTATTGTCATTAATTTGTAGAATATGACACTAACAGCCCTGATATTAAAGGCTAGAAATTGCCCTTCATTACATTTTATTTTATAAAAAATTGTTAGTTTGATATAGAGATGTAAAGTCTCCTTGAATTGGTTAACTGGTTAAAGATTACATTTAACCACTTAAATGGGAACCCACAGGCAGAGGGCCACTCCAGCCTGGCCTGAGCTGTCCCCAGCATGCAGCATGGTGCAACGGGTGCAGTGAGGCTGGAATGCCCCCAGCCTGTGGAGCAATGGGACCAGCCAGCTGGAGCGCCCGCCCGCCCCCCCAGCTGATGGCATGGTGGACACAGCTGGGCTGGAACAGCACCCCTCTCATATCAGGCAAGGTGCTGTTCCAGCCTAGCCAGGCTTCCGGTTAACTGATAACCATCACCTGGCAAGGGTGATGCTTACAGGTTAACCACTGACATCCTTTGTTGTGGAAGGTCTCTGGACATGTCTTTCTAAACTAAAAGTTCTCTCTCTCACTTTCTTCACAATTTACACCAGATGCTAAAACTTTGCAACTATTTGTGACTGTTTCTACGTTCCAAATGAGAAAAGGAAGTCAAATGAATATATTGCATTGTTCTCACCAAGTGTTTTTGTCAGTATTTAATTTGATAACAAGGATGGACCTCCCTGTTGCTGACATTGGGAGACTTTTTCACTGTTTAATAGCTTTGTTAATAAAAAATAAATTGTTAACCTGGCCTTATTCATCACCTAGTCAAACTAAAAAAAAAAGGAAATATTTATGTAAAAAAATCCATAAAACAATCCAAGTCTTAAATTGTTAGCTGACAAACAAGTTCTAAAACACACACCAAGGCTACGTCTATACTGGCAGCTTCTTATGGAAGAACAGCCGTTCTTCTGCAAAAACTTGCCGGCTGTCTAGACTGCATGAGTGTTCTTCCAGAAGTAGATTTAAAGTATAGTGTTGTAAAACAGGGCCTCTTCCAGAAGAGTTATTCCTCTCCCCATGAGGAATAAGCCCTCTTGCACAAGAGCTCTTCCAGAAGAGGGCAGTGTAGACAGGCAACATGAATTCCTTGCGCAAGAAGCCCCTATGGTTAAAATGGCTATCAGAGCTTTCTTGCAGAAGAGAGCGTCTACACTGCCATGGATGCTCTTGCGCAAAAGCACATGCCAGGGTAGATGCTCTCTTGTGGAAGAGTTATTGCGCAAAAAGCTGCCAGTGTAGACGTAGCCCAAGTAATTGACACTACTAGAAATCACTTCAGCATTCAGCGAGCTCTCACAATCAATAGGGGGAAATTAAGAGTAGTCAGTGAGCACTATAGATGTGTCAGCTGGCAACCTTTTAACATTGTAACAGAAAAGGAGAGAGAGAAGGAAAACTGTCAGCCAGCACGCAAAGCAACAACAAACAAAATACTCATTATTGACCTAGTAATTATTTACACTATGGATGTCAATGGTTAGCCTGGTGGCCTGCCTGGCCAGAGTTAACTGGTGGCCTGGCTGGCCAGAGCAGCCTGTTGTGGGAGTTCCGGCCAGGGTGGAGAAGCCCCTGCCCACACTGGAACCCCGGCCCGACCAGTGCAGCCCCCTCCCACGGTAGAGGGACACTCCAGCCCAGCCGACTCCTCACCCATCCCCGTTTAAGCAATTAACCAGTTACACATAACATTTACCCGGTAACTGAATGAATGGGATTTTACATCCCTTACACACACAACCTTTTTTCTGGAACATACTAATTTTTAGCAGCATAAACTCTGGAGGAGTTTTGCAACTTTTCATGCTTTAATTGCTATTTCCATTCTCCTAGATCATGTCAGAACACAATTCTGTCTTTTGTCATGTGGGGGTAGCACCTCTAGCGTGCTGTTAGTCTGCCTCCGTGTTTACATAAAAAAATTAAGACAAAAATCTAGAGTTTGTGCATGATAATCCCCTCTAGTTCAAACAGCTGCTGTGAGGTACAAAGCATGAAGTAGAATTGTCAGAAATGGAAGAGATATTCAAGGATCTTGGAGAGTATTACAAACAACAGTATTCAAATTAGAGCTACAAAAATAAATCCCTCATCTACTTCAAACTACACCCTTACTAAATATTTCACTTTGGACTATGGAACTGGAACGAATTGTGAGGATTTACGGAACCCCTCTGCCTTGCAGCTCTGCTCCTCAGTGAATAAAAATCAGCATGTCTGCAACTCTTAGCTTCTGCGCACACTCAGGAACAGTCTTATTCACCAATAGATTTAACTCCATCGGTGCTGACCCGTAGGCATACACAAAGTCATGCAAGGGTTTGTGCAGACTGAGCTCATAATTGGGGTAAAACCTGATTAGCAGAACTCAGTTTGCCCTTGTCTGTTCTCAAGGGTCAGCCCCAGAAAGCTACATCAACTGCTGAATTGGAACAATTCCCCATTATGGTCAAGGCTTACTAGAAGAGCAGGAAACCTGCATTGTTGTTATATTTTTCTTGACTACACAATGGCATGTGGCATGGCCATACCCAAATAAAAACAGACATACATGGGAGGCACCAACCCATACCCTCCTGTGGAATACCCATGAGAGGTGCTCTGAGGACCTAGGAGATTCTAAGAAGTCCACCTATAGGAATCTTGTTAATGCATCTCCCATGAAGGGAAGAATTTCCTAATCTCCACAGATCCACGCATAGCCAAGATGCTCTACCTCTATGCACGGTCAGCTCTTCCCTGCCCCTCCTCTCCTCTCTCTTTCCCCCTACACTAGCATGCCACCATTCACAACCCAACCAGTTCTTACACAAAATTCCCTTTTCTAACTGGCATATAGACATGGATCCTTCCAGCAGTACTCACTCAGTTCTCAATTAGGGAGGTATAGTCAGTTAAATAGGCAACCATGCAACCGCTGAAATTCTTAGCAGTTACACAGTTACACATGCTGCGGGCTCTTTAAATAAGGAGCTGCCAGCTCCACTCCCAGGCAGGCTTCTCTGCCACAGAGAAGCCTGCTCCCAGTGAGACAATGTGTAACCTGCAGCAAGGGACTGGGCTGGGCCCACCACGAATAAGGGTTGCTCTGGCCAACTGGAGCAGCCCATGCCTGCGGTGGGCCCTGCAGGGCTGGAGCATCCCCTGCCCAAGGCAGGTGGGGAGCTGCTCCAGCTCCTCTGGTTAACTGTTTAGAGAGCCAGTTGCCGGTTAACCAGTTAACTTTTCATGCCCCTCATTTCAGTAGCAACTCTACCGTCAGCAGACTTTACAGAATAAAATGCCACCGAGTGCAGCTGCATCCCAGCTCCATCTCAGCTCCACAGCCCTGTAGGAAACCTTCCACAAACCCCATCTCTCGCAAGTAGAAAAGGCCTCTCCG